GGTTCGGCTACAATCAGGGTTTCTGTTCCAAACGTGGATGACGGGCAAGTCATTGAGATCACAGTGCAGTCGTTATCTGAAAACGTGGGAAGTTTGAAGGAGAAAATAGCCGGAGAGATACAGATTCCAGCAAACAAACAGAAGTTAAGTGGAAAAGCCGGGTTCTTAAAGGACAACATGTCACTTGCGCATTACAATGTGGGAGCAGGAGAAATCCTAACACTGTCGGTGAGAGAACGTGGTGGGAGAAAGAGATAGAGAGACAACATCGTGTGGATGCAGGGAAATGCTTTTTAATCTCTTAATTCTTCTTTTAAATGTTTAAGTTCGATGGCCAAAACTATATGTACTGATCTCTCTTTCACACATCTTTAATTACCCTTGGCTCATCATCGTTATGGAGTTTTAGAATGAAGAAGAATGATTATTACTGACTTAAGTTTTGTTTTTTGGATTTGCAGCTAGTTCTGAGGCAACGTTTTGGCTCTGTAATCTTTTTAAAAAAACTTCTCTTTACATTATGTGATACTAGGCTTTGTCTTTTTTTCCCCATATCATGTTTCTTCTTACTTTGGTGGTTAAGCCTTTTTAGTGCAGTTTGGTTTCTCTTTTCTGTAGGTTCGATACGAGGATATTTTCGATAGGCTCATCAGTGTCGCAGGTACGCAATGTAGTTGAAATATTGAGAACCTTTGTAGGCCTTAAACATAGGCTTTCTTCTTTCTTTGCACTAGTTTTTTTTGGTTTGCAGAATGCGTCATGTCTCTGCGGCTTCTCTGTGCCTTTGATTTTTTTTTGGAGTCTTACACGATCAATGTAGTTGTAAGTCGTAGCTATATTCTTTAATTAGATGAGATGAAAGAAATTTGTCTTATCTTATCATATACAAGGCTATAATGTTGCATTCTGCAATTGTCGAATCAAATAGTTGTTGCTACCTACTAGTACTTATGTATCATTTAGTAACACTTCTTAAATTTAGCTCTTCAGTCTTTAATTTCTTAGGGTCTTCATTAAAAACCCGATATAAGTTAAATGCGAAACCGGCAAGTTGAATTCATTACTCTACCCGGTTCAGGTCTTTCCTGTATACTTTATCGAGTAAACCTTCCCTTAGCATCTGCGTTTGAGACTAGGAATCACACACACACACCACAGATAGTGAAACAGCTGGAAACTTTTATTTTAGTTACAAGCATAAAAGCTCTCAGGATCAAGCTCTTGCTTTAAGCCAACGTAAGATTGTATTAAACAACGTTTACAATAGATGTAGAATCTTTGAAACAATATCAGAAAATACGAAAACGAAACCTACAGAGACTTCCGAAAACACCACAGAAAAAAGTAACCCACAAGAGCAATTTGACTAGTACATGAACTACTACAACATTTTGAAAACATCTTGTATCTAATATTGTCTTTGACTCTTAAGAAACACAAGTTGATAAAAAAAAACTGGTGAGAATTGGGTTTGATCCTAATAATTTTTTATATAACAATGTCTCTCTAATGCTTGATGAAATCAAGAGAAGGTGTGACATAAGCAGAGGAAGAAGATGATCGGAGGCATGACTGACTATTTTTCCGGGAAGAGAAACAAAGAAAAGGAAAGAAGACGACTCTCAAAACTTTCTTAAGAACTTTTCCTCTCTTTGGAACTACACAAGCTTCTCTTTCACCCATTTCTCTTCTTTTTTTTGC